CACAAAAAATTCATAAGCAGAGGCGTTCGTAATGCAAGGTACCACTGTATAAGTAGAATTGTGTAATTAATTTGAACCACTGTGTATTTAACTTGAATGCATTTAACTCAAATTTTGCTACAATACGCTCTGTTCATAACTATGGGTCACCTGTAATCCAGGTGTTCTTAACCCAGGGACTACCTGTACTGATATATCACATTTTATTTTTAATACAAAAAACACTGATATTGTGCAGTAGTTTGGTAATATATTAGGTTAAATTAACTGGATTAAGTCCCATATGCATCCTCTGGCTCTATAATCTCTATGAAATTTGCAATAACTGGGATTTTAATTGTTGCCAATTAATTGTTTTAATTCTTTTAACATCTTTAAAATTGTTTTAAATATTGGGAATAGTTATTCCAAGAAAACCTATGGCTATATACATAGCAATTTTTTTTATCCCAGAGGAAAACTGATACGAACAGGTAATTAGAAATCTCACTGATTTTATGGGGATAGATTAAAATTAGTAAGATTTCAAGATGGATATGTCTACTTAGATATATTCTTGTTACTACCTTCAACATTTCAAGTAGATAGATAAGATATAACTCTCAGTGTTACACATGTCAGTTTAATGGACTTTGTATGCAACAGAAAAATCTGCCCATATAATGTATGCTTCTATACATGTATAAATCCCATTTCCATTTTATGAATGCATAAAATGTGCTGGCATAAAAATCCCATTCAGATATAATAGGCATTATGTTTTAACAAACATCTCCCTTCCTTCCCCCATTAGTCTGTTAAGTTGAGGATTTACCATATTAAAAAAAATTCTGCAGGAAGGAGAAATCCCTAGATTTTCTTTATCTAAATTACAATTATAATATTTTAACTTTCCTGACTTTCAGCTTTAACATCAGGCATATAGTTCAACTTCAATTTCTTTATCAACCACAACTGACCAAGTAAAAATCACTATAGTCAGCATAAGAAAATTTACACTTGATGTCATGGCAGGGGTTGGCTCCATTTTTAGCAACAGATATATTGCATTTCTTATAATAAAGTCTGAGGCATGTTTGGAAGTTTGAGCCTTATTAACCCAACAAACTTACACTGTGGGATAATCCCAGTTTGAATACAGAAAGTAAAAGTAACAGACAAGTTGGGGCATACTTCATATAAGTATCTACTTTAGATCACCTTATTGCCATTCATGCTTTAAAAACCTCAAGAGTTATTTCAAGAGGATTTTGGTTTGCCTAAAAGCACGAAAGAGCAGTATAGTATGAGGAAAATATACCTTTGGGTGAAAGAAGCAAGTTTTTGGGTGAAAGAGGCAAGTTTTTAGAGGCCTCAGATGAATGGGGTCACCTTAATAAAACTGAAACATAAAGGAACGTGCAGCACCTTTGAAGCTGGTGTGAACTAAGCGGATTGTAAACTCCTTATCACAAACATCCCCATAGCAACTTAAGGGAGGATGCCTTCTTCCTGGCATTTGGCACCTTGAACTAATTTTCTTCTTCTTCCTGGTAGATAGCAGTTGTCCTTGAAGATAGCAGATAACAGAGGGGCAGAAGGTAACTTGACAAGTATTGCTCATTTAGGTGTTATGCCTGCATCATCATATGAATATGTACGCGCATGCGTTCTTTTTCCCTTCCCCTTCTTGTAGAACTGTATAAATATCAGGGCATCCATTTTGCCTACAGGGGAGTGTCTCCCACTAATCTTTGATGGGGTCCCCCTCCAGTACATACTGCCTAATAAACACTGCAGCGAAGCCTTGATTATTTTGCACTTGTGTCCTGCATTTTGATTCTGCAATAGTCAGATAAATTTCTTGATTTCACAATTTGATCTAAATTACTAGTAGCAGTATTAAAAGTCCTTCAGATTATTCTAAATCTACAATATTTTTAATTGTTATTTTAAAAAGCAATTACTACTATTACTAAACAGATATTATTCCTTGCAAGAACACTAGAATACACAGATGGGCTGTCCCATATTAATCAATAAATAGCTTAAAGAATATTAATAATATTAAGAATAAATATTAAATATTAATATTAAGAATAAATATTTAAGAATATTAAGAATAAATATTAAATATTAAGAATATATATTCTTTAAATAATAAAGAATATTAAGAATATTAAGAATAAATAGTCTTAAAGAATATTAAGCATATTTCTTATGGTTTTAAAATGAAATTAATTCAAGGAAAGATTATTTTCCATGTATACTGGATTCCCCAGAGAATGCTTTAAAAAGGATAGCTATTGAATTTATTATGCCTAAGTCTACTACTTGCATATTTGCTCATATGATAAGGACTTATCATGTTATTGCCCCCTTTTGATTTAATTTCTGTAATACTATTAATGCAATATTACATTGAATGTACTGTGCTTTGGAATTCTGTTCCAAACATATGGAATACAATTT